GAGGGAGGGAGGGAGGGAGGGAGGGAGAAGGGAGAGCTAGAGCGACGAGCTCTTCTCGCTGTGCAGGCCAGGCAGTGCAACTAGCAGCAGTCGGGCCAAAGTTGGGCCAAAGTCCATCATCGTTGCGCGCTTCGGTGAGATGGGCGGGCATAGTGACGCACCGGTGGTGGTATAATCCCTTACCTGCCCGGATGTCAAAAACGTCATGAATTGGATTACGATGAGTTGGGTCGGTCTCGATCAGTTTGGGTGTGGGGTGGGGCTGGGTGTACTGGGGGTGAGGTGGGTTGGAGTGGGGTACGGTGGGGTTGCTGGCAATCAAGCTGAGAGAGGTGCACGCGGCGGGTGGCGATGCCGTCATCCTGTAAACCGGCGCAGTCCGCACCGTGACAAACGCAAGTGCGAATTATTGAGCAGAGCGGAATGTATCAGTCCGGCCCAGCTCCGCGGATCGCCCTCACTGTGTGGTCTGGATGGATATGAATTTTGATCAACTTTGACTGAACTGCTTCGAGATGATTTCAATGAACTTCGGCAATGAATCTCGAGCCAACGAACTTCGAAACAAGTTCATGAAGTTGAACCAGAATCGAGAGAAGATCTCTCGCCGTGAGAAACCACTATAGGGTAATTTTTTATCTCCGGATTGTTGGTTGGTATGTATTGTGTTAACGTGCTAGCCATGGGTAAGAACCATAGGCCTGAGCAGAGCGCGGCGAGGCAGGCGCCGCCTTGGGTAGGCAAAGCGAGTCGCGCCAGAGTAGGAGGGTCGAGGGTCACCTTCTTTTCTTTCACGTTGGATCGCCGGACCGAAACGGTGGACTACGCGCGTTGCGCCAACCGAGTTTAGGGATTCTATCGATGGATTGGAAAGGGGTTGAGAGCAGCGGTGGCAGTGAGGGAGGTTGAAGGGAGTGGGAGGGGGGGAGGGGTCCATCCTCCACGGCCCCATCCCCTCGCGCTCTAAGCCAACAGTTTAAGAAATTCCGTGGACACAAACTGATTGGACTTTTCTGATTGCTGGTCAGAGAGCGCGAACTATGGGGGAGAGATGAAAGTATTCGGGCGAACGGCAGTCGGGGGCGCTCAGCGACGAACGGGGCGCGGGCGGCGAGGGGATAAGGATGAAAGAGGGGGGAGAGCGGAGAAAGAGAGAGAGAGTGAGAGAGAGAGGATAGGAATAGAGACAGAGGGAGGGCCGAAGGGCGTCAAGCAGGGAGAAGCAAAAGAGAAAAACTGTGGGCGGCCCACCCCTGCCTCCCCTCTCTCCCCCTTTCCTCCCTCGCGCACTAGCGCCAGGAGCGGCAGCCAGTCTCCCACTCTTTCTCCCTCCTTTCGCTCTTTTTTTCGTTTTTTTTCGAGATGGTGGCATCTGTTTTGTTTATTTCTCATAGCCGGTGACGCCTGCGTCGACGCAATGGACGTATATGCAGAAGCGCTACGCACTTGGGGTGGGGGGGCGGTACTATAGTTGGTTCGCTTCAAGCTTTCCCGCGAGCAGGGGACGCCGCGGCGCCCGGGTGTGGTGGTGGCGGCGCGGGGCCCGGCTGCTGCACCCTCTCCGCTCGAGCGGCACAACAAGTCCCTCCGCCTGGTGGCCGCCCGCGATGACCCTTCCTCACCCATGCTCCTCCGTCTTGGAAGGCGTTCCCCCTTCTCTCCCTGACCTTGACTTCCCTTGGCGAGGAGGCAGGCCAGCGCGTAAGGGAGCCTGTCGGGCCGGGACGATACGGGCCGTGGCGTGGCGTGGCGATGCGGGGTGGGG